TGGACAGTGCTTGGGAGGGACAAGTGTGACAGCAGGTGGCTGGTCAGGCACTGCTGCAGTGATCCTGTTGAGCAAGGTGAAGATCGGAGCGTGGGAAAGACCTCGTGGATATTAGCATACAGAAGCTTCACACCAAAGAACATGAGCTGGGTGAACATGGGTGAACTGAACTGCGAAGACTGCATAATAAACTTGTCCTCTTACAGTTCTAGATATCTGAATGCTGATGTCAGTTGCAAGGTATGCCCAGAGCCAGATTCCCTCTGGAGGCCCTAGAAGGGAATCCAGTCCCTGATTTTCTCCAGTTTCTTGAACTGTACAATTTGTATTCTTTGACTGTGACTGCTTCCTCTCTTTCCAAAGCCAGCAGCATAACATATTGCTTCACATGTCATTCTCACTCTCCTTTTATGAAATTTATTATTAGTAGTACATGTTTGGAGTACATAATGAATACATTCTTTGAGGGTACTTGGTAAATGTATCAGATGTATCTTAATTCTTTCTATGTTCCCTTCCCTTCCTACCCCTTCTCCTTCCTGCATCTTTTGGTCTTCTTCCCTTTTATAACAGAAACCCTTCCCTAATGTAAGAAAAACTATGTGATATTTAAGACTGTATGTCTGATGTTTATATCATTTAACTTTATGAATTTAAGGTGCATTCCTTTTCCTACAAACAACTCAAAATTTATCCTTTTATTTATTTTAAAGAGAATAAGAAAACAATAAAAACAGCACAGAATTTCAAAACAAGAAATTAACAATGGTTATTATATTGCATATTGCAATCTTCAAAGTAGTTGCTCAGATTACCAGATATAGGCATGTAAGACTGATCAAACAATATAAGCATTAATGGTTCCTTTCAATGAACTAGTAAAAATTAGTAGTATAATTATATACTTGTATTCGTTTACCTATAAAAGCCTTGAGTTTAGAACTGAGTAATACTCATCTACATGCCCACAAACAGTGGAGAAAGGCTCCTTTTTTCCCCACAGCCCCACCAGTATGTTACTGGTTTTTTTGGATGACAGCCATTCTTTCTAGGGTAAGATGGAATCTCAGTGTTGCTTTAATTTGCATGTCTCGAATGACCAATGATGCTGAACATTTTTTCATATACTTATTTACTATTTGATATGAGAATTAACTACCATAAATTTCCCTCTGAGGACTGCTTTCATTGCAACCCACAAGTTCCAGTAAGTCCTCAGTAAAAAAAATAAAAATTTATCCTTCTTATAGCAGCATAGTTCTCCCGTGTGTATAAATACATTTTCTTTACTTATTCATTTGCTCATGGACATATATAGGCCGCTTCCACTTCTTTTGTTCCTTTGTTTTTGAGACAGGTTCTCCCTATGTAGTTTTGGCTGGACTTGAACTCACTATGTAGCCCAGGCTGGCCACAAATTTGCAGCAATCTTTCTGCCTCAGCCTCCTGTGTACTAGGATTTCAGGATACTCTACCACATCCAGCCACATCTCTTTATAACATTTGTGATTGCATCTAGAGCCAAATGTTCAAGACAAACCTCCCACTTCTACATCTTTTACTTAATCACACTGCAGAGTCCCTTCTCAATAAAAGATGACACTCATGATTCAGGAATTAGAATATGAAATCTTTGGGGATATATTCAAGCTTCTAGGAAAGATAAGGGAGAGAAAAAAGATCATGGTATCAAGTTCTCAGGCATGCTAATATTTAGGGCAGACAGAGGAAATGGAGCCAGCAAGAGATTGATAAGAAATAGGAATTGATAGGAACTGAAGAAGAAAAAAAGTGAAACACTTTTGGGATAGCCAAATAGCTCAGCAGGTTAAAGCACCTGCTTAGGCAGATGCAGGGGCTGGGAGTTCGATCTGATCTGTGGCCTGCCATGCCAGCCCCTCCCCCGGAGTGTGCTGAGACAGTGATTGAGACTGGACGTGGTGGCATGCACCTGTAATCCCAACACTTGGGAGGCTATAAATAGGAGGATCACTATGAGTCCAATCTATACAGTGAGACCCTGTAGACCCTGTCCTAAAAAAAAAAAAGTACAAAAAAAGAAGGTGAAACCCTGTATCAGACAGCAGAAGAAGAAGAAAGGAGGAAGAGGAAAAGGAGAAAAGAAAAAAAGAAACTTATTTTGTAGAGACAGGGACTAGATGAATTCTCAGAAGGAAGATGTTTGTCAGTTTTACTCAGAGGTTAAAGAAGATAAATGGGGAAGAAGCCATCAGAAGCAGCACCACAGCTGGCAATCTTGACAATGGCAGGTTGGATGTGGGGGTTGGGCACAGTGAATCAGGCACCATGGGAATGGGCTAAGGAATCCATTGGATGAGGCAGTACAGGCAGCACATACAGCAAACTCTCTTCATTCTGCTGTCAAAGAAACACTGGCTGTTATGGAGTTGGGAGTTGCTTTCTATTTTTTAACAGTACATAGCGCTGATGATTTCACAAAGAAAGCAAGAGATGAGGTCCAGGGCCAAGTAGAGACACAAAAGCAAAGAGTTACTGAGTTCCAAAAAAGGGACAGGAGAGGGAGAGAGAAAAGAGATTTCACTATGTATGTAAGCAGGCTAGTTTGGACAACTGTACTGCGCATTTCTGCTGGTCTATGGAAAGAAGCAGATAATGCTTTAATTTGTCTCATCTTTTTTCAATTGCTTGTACTTTTCTTGTTCTTAATTTCTTATGCATTTCTTCTTCCAACTTTACATGCATATATCTGGTAATATGAATAACTGGTTGGAAGACAACACTATGTATTACAACAAATACTATTACTTTGTCATATTACTTTGTTAAGTGCAAATATGTATCACTTATAATTTTTTGTTTTAATTCTAATTTGTACTCTTTAAAAAATAAAAAGAAGTAAGAGCGTGGATGCTTCTTCCATCATACAAGGAAGAAAAGGTACACACAGATTATTGCAGAAGAGTGAAGCTCAGGATAAGTAGGCACCTTTGAGGAGATAATGTTTGCGGAGTCATATTATTGGTGCAGATACCCTATTTTGTTTTCTCACCACTAATAAGTAGAGATAGAGTGGCTAAATATCTGAGAGATAATTCTCTCTTAAGTCCTTCCCCCTTAGTTTAGTGAAAGATAATCTGAATGAAAAAAAGCAAGTAGCCATCTTAGCACATGTGAAACTTTATTTAAGAGAAATAGTGCAAACTACTTTGTAATTTTGTTTTCATTAAAAAACACTAAGTGAAAAGGAAAAAGACCTTAGGACTAAACAATTCATTTTCTCATGAAAGATGAATAATAAATAAGGCACTGAACATAATTATCATGTAATTCTACAGCCTTCATAGGTATGAAAACTGTCAAGTACATATTACAAAATCACATGGTCAGTGGCTAGCAGATTGGAATTCAAAATCTTTTATCTTATTTGATATGGCATTAAACAAACTACAAAAGGAATTGCTAGCATCTATATCCCATTTTATGTAAAACTATAGCTTCTGTCAAATTACCCATTTTCCCTCACCAAGATGAAGAAGAAAAACTATGAGAGTTCCCTCCACCAGAGTATTTGTTAGATCCTACTCGTTCACCTGGACATCCAAATCATCCACTGCTAGGACAGATGTTCTACTATAACTCATCTAGCGTCACCATCCCATGGCAGTTTGCCCTGAGCTGTGGGCAACTTCTCAGTCTCCTGATAAACGATGTTGCTTTCGTCAGTCTTGCACCTAATATCTAGATGTGCCCACAGACACAGAGAGTTTTTTGTCTCCTAATGCACTGATTTTAGTTATTCAATATTTTATTTGTGCATATGAGCCTTGGAAACTATAATATTTAACTTTAAAGATGATTTAATGGTTTAACAAACTGCCACTGAGACTCTTTCTTCTATCTTTTCCTTTTCCTTTTTTCTCCTTCCTGAAAGGGCTATGTGTTTAAGAGACATGGAGTTGTGGATTTTGAGCGATCCCGTCTCCTCCTAACCAGTCAGCCAGTCGGCTGCCTTGGCGAATTACTCTTGGCATCCTCACATGTTCAGACAATGATTATTTCATAGAAGGTGGAGACCTAGGAGGATTCCCACTAACTGAATGAAAGATTATAATCAAATTTCAAGCCCAGACTTGAGGTTTTTCTCCCTTACTGAGAGATTATACCAAACTCTCAGGGATTCTTTGATTCACAGTGAGAAAACTTAGGCTGCTCCTTCACAGATTCCAGCCCTCCTACAGTCTGAAATGGTAATTTCAGACTGGTTTTTGAAAATATAGACGTTGCCACACACACAAAAAAAAAAAATTGTAAAAAAAAAAAATAACATGAAGTGAGCTGTAAACATTCAAGTATTACTGTAGGTTTGCATAAAAGCAGCAGCAATTTTTAAAAAATACCTTGTAACATTGCCTTTTATAAACTAGCAGCAATAAGCTATTTGTATCAAATGGGGAAAGGCCAGGAGGGCTGGTTATGGCCTCTAGAAATTAATTTGGTTTAATTCTATCAGTAGACATTGACTTAGTATTTCCACAAACTCAGAATGGTCTTTCCCCTGGATCAGCTAAGCGAAGCATCTCAGGTGCGCATGCTCAGTGCTACTCTGTTTAGATGTCTGAGATGCTGTAACCCCTTCTAGAAATTGTCCTTTTAGAAACTTTGACAGTGAAATAAGAAAGCACTGTTTAATCTAAAAATTACCAGACATGGAATGTAAAAATATCTTTCAGGAAGGTCTCCCACTACAGCGCATTTGTTCAGAGACTAAAGTAAGGGTTGACATTTGTCAGTGCCATGTGTGCTCCTTTTTCTGTTTTTGTACCTGAGGATTATTCACAGCTCATTTAAAAATAAATAAATAAAAGCAAATTGCTTTGGATAGTGTTCCAGAGGATCAGAAGCCTGATCCAGGATACACTGTCAGCCTTCCTTGGTGAATGGTGATTTGGTCCAGTTTCCGTGCAGGCTACTATCCGGCTATCTAGAGAATCCCTTCCTGCAGAGGAAGACCAGATGGTTCACAGAATCTCTGTGGGAAGCGCACAGGACTGGACTTCCTGGTAGGCCATCTGTGTCCTCGCAAAGTGGAGCCTGAGGGACAGAATCACGGTGGTGATCAGGAGGAGGAGTCCCAAAATGAAGAGGATGACCAAGGCTGTCTTGGCTCTTCTTGGACCCAGATTCTTGCCAAAAAAATAGAGCTGCTCCTTGCCAGATTGTTCTGTGAAAAAAAAAAAGTGAGAGTCAGATGCCTGCCTCTCTCTGGGAGTGAAATGCCAAGGCTTTCGCAAGCAGGATACAGGAGAGGGTACATTACCATTGGAGGGCACTGTGGCTGAGTGGGCCGCCCCTCCAGGAGACTTGGTAGAGTATGGAATCCTGTTGTCTAAACAAGGAAGATAAGTTGATTGTCTTTAAACAAGAAGAGAGTCTTCTGACAAAAGAACTCATGTCATTTTACCAGTGAATAATTTACCCCATCAGTATTGGCCATCTTTCTTATATGCTCACTGAGCTACTTCATGAGTACACACACGTTCCCACCCTCTTCATCTTTCCACCTTCTTCTCATCCACTGAGATATATTGTGACTACCACAGCCCACAAAACCCTGACTCACATTCCCAAACCCTTAGTGATACCCTCCTCCTCCTGCCACTGAATCCTGCATTCTGTAATCTATTAAGCTGCGTATCATTCTCTATTATGGTTACATAGTTACATATCTGTCTCTCTTACTTGACTCTGAGCTCCATGGGGGCTGTATCTGGGATTTTTCATGCCTCCTATTTCCAGGTCTACAGGAAGCTTGGTGCCATCACCTGGCATCACTGACAGACAACAATACCTATGTTCCGGAGGACTGTGTAGGTTGTCTCCATGCCAGCATGGATATGGTCAGACACATGACAGTGTAGTAGCCATGTCCCTGGGTGATCCGCAAATAATTCAATGGTTTGGAATGTCCCAGGAAAGAGATCATACACATCTTCTCGGTAAGATTTATCTATCTGCAGAAGTAAAAAAAAATAAAAAATGCACTGTGTAATTTTTCTTGATTAGAACAGCAAGAAGAGAAGGAGGAGCAAAGAAACACAGTCAGCAGAAGGAAGGAAATAAAAATATAAAATCAAGAATAGAAACAATAATAAAGATAAATCAAAGAAACCTAAAGCTGGTTCTTTGACCAAAGCAATAAAATTGATGAACCTTGTCATAGCCAGTTTCCATTAGTAGCTCCCAATGATCCCCATTTCCTGGTATTCATTATCTTTGTGGCCTCTTCCTACTCAACAGTAGGGTTGGTCTGTGTGACCAATACCATATGATGCAGTAATAGCATTCCACTTGTAAAATAAGGTTAGCAGGAACCATGTCTTGTGTTTTAGTCCTGCTCTTACTTCCTCCTCTTACATGAGTCACTCTGGGAAAGGCCAACTCCCATGCCATACTCGTATGATGAAGTACTGAAGCTTTTAGTCAACAGCCTCCTGAGTAAGCTTGGATTTGGATCTTCTTGCTCTAAGGAAGTCTTTGGAAAGATGCTCAATCAGATCCACCTAACTGAGCTATTCCCAGATTTCCTACCAAGAGAAACTCTAAGATCATTAGTGTGTTTTGCTTTACATTACCGAATTTTAGCATAATAGTAAACGAAAGAGAAAGACATTACAAAAAGACAGAAATCACTAAAATCTCATAGACATTAAAAATGGTAAAAATGAAATATTGTACAAATAGCCCTGTGCCCATAAATTCTTCAACTTATATGGCATGAGCAGAATTATTATTATTATTATTATTATTATTATTATTAATGTATTTGGTTGTTATAGGGTCTTACTATGCAGCTTGGATTCCTTGTGATCCTCCTGCTTTCAGCCTCCCCAGCACTGGGATTGCAGGCATGAACCACTATACCTGGATTCTGGCCAGTTTAGCTTGCCCTGGGGCTGGGGCTGGCATGGCATGTGGTGCCAGGGATTGAACATGGTCCCTGTGCTTGCCTGAATTTGCTAAGCAGGTGCTGTAGTCCACTGAGCTATCTTGCCAGCCAAATGAGCGAAATTCTTCAAAAAACAAATTGCCACAGATCACTGAATAGCACTATATTACCTATTTCCATAGGTAACTTGAATAGAACTATACCTAATGAAGGAACTAAAATTGTATTGAGATCTTCCAAAATGCCCACATGGTTTCATTTACAAATTCTATGAAACATTTAAATAAGATAAAACACCAATTCTAAATACAATCCAATGGATCATTTTATAAGGATGACACTAACTTGATATCAAATCCAAACAAATACATTATAAGAAAAGAAAATCAATATTCTTCATGAACACAGGTGAAAAAAACCCTAAACAAAATAATAGCAAATCAGATGTAGCAATACACAAAAGACAATGTATCATGACCAGATAAGGTTGATGCACAAAATGAGAAAGTAGTTCAGTGTTTGAAAATCAGTGCAGTTCACCAATGGACTAAAGAAAAGGAGAAATAAGAAAAAAAGTCATGCAATCATAATAGACACACAAAAGCTATTTGATATAATTTAATGTCTGTTCATGATAAAAACTTTCAGGAAACTAATATAAGGAAAATTCTTTAACCTGATATCTACAATGAGATCTATTTAAAAAGCTACAACTTCATATTTTGTAGTGAATGACTTTTCCCAAGATTAACAATATGGAAGGAATGCTCACTTTTCTACTTAAATTCAAAGCTAGAGTTTTTCTCCATTGCAGTAAGACAGATTTTTTTTAAAAGCAGATGAGGGGCCGGAGAGATAGCTCAGTAGAATAAGTGCTTGCCTGGCAAGTGCAAGGGCCTGAGTTCAATCCCTGGTTCCTCAAAAAGAAGAAAAAAGAAAAAAGAAAAAAAAAAAAAAAAAAAGCAGATGAAAAAAATTTTAAAAATCTCTATTCAAAAACAAGAATATTGTTTATATAGAAAATCTCTCTTAAGACCTAAAGAAAGGCTATTAGAACTGAAATGAGTTTGTCAAAGTTACAAGGTACAAGCTCAGTGTGCAAAAGCAATTATGTTTCTACATACTGACAAAAAACAATTTGAAATCAAAATTAACACAATACCATTTACACTATCACAAAAACTCAGGTTTATGTATAAATCTAGTCTGCTTATGTATATGTACAAAATCTGTATACTAAAAATTACATGATATTGCAGAAATAAATCTAAAAACATTAACTAGAGATATACAGCATATTCATAGATTAGGAATCCAATGTTATTAAGGTGTCAGTCCTTCCCAAATCACTGTATAAGTTCAAGGGAAATCCATTGAAAAGGTCAGTGGGAGTTTTAAATTGGAATCAATAGGCTGCTTCTAAAATTTACATGAAAAAGCAAAAATCTTATCTTTTAAAACAATCACCACTTAACTGCAAGCTTTAATGTAACATTAATTAGGACAGGGTGGCATTCAACGAGGCACAGAAGTACAGATCAATGTAGCAAAATAGAGTGCAAATATAAATCCACATACATATATAATCAATATGATTCCAGCAGAAGTACAAAGTGAGAAATAATGGTGCTTTGTGTGTGTGTGTGTGTGTGTGTGTGTGTGTGTGGCCAGTTCAGCCCACGGGGAAGGGGGGTGGCTGGTTGGCATGTGGTGCTGGGGGACTGAACCGCGGTCCCTGCGCTTTGCTTAGCTTAGCTTGTTCTAAGTGGGTGCTTTAGACCACTGAGCCATCTCACCAGCCCGATAATGGTGCTTTTAATGAGTAGTAGTGAAACATTTTGACATGCAAATGCAAAAGAAGTCTTAATCCATACTTCAAAACATACATGAAAAAGAAAACATGGAAATTAACCAAAAATGACACAGAGCCATTAATATAAAATCTGACTTCAAAATACAATACAAAAATGCACTATCATCAGAAGAGCATGAGATTGACATAAAAAGTCACGCTGACCCTAAAAGGAAGCCCACGTACTTATCTACAACCCACTAATTTTCAACGAAGTGCTCAGAATCCAGACTGGAAAAATGATGGGTCTCCTCAATAACATTGTGGGGAAATTGGGTATACATATGCAGAAAAGTGAAACTAGACATATCTTTCACTAGATCAAAATGGTTTGAAGACTTAAGCACGGAAACTGGGACCCCTGGGAGAAAACACTGGAACTACTTCAAGACATTGAAGTGATCAAAGACTTTTTGGACAAGACCTCAAAATGAAAGGAAGGAAGTGCAAAAATGGACAAATAGAATCATACCATTGTAAAAAAAATCTTTGTAGACTTCAGGGAAAATGGGAGAATGGTAAGCTGAGACACATCAACCTGTCCAGTAATTGAAACCAGACACTGGAAAATAACAACTTGGGGAAGACAGGAAGGAAGGAAGTGGATCCCCAGCACTCAGGAAGGCTCTCAAGGAGAAAAATGGGATCTGCAGAGAAAGTGAGGAGACAGACTAGAGCACAGAAAAGGAGGAAAGTTCCACTCACCACCACAGCTCACAGCATGCAAGGAGTATGGAATTTCTAGAGGTACAGAGAGAATGATTAAGTCCGCACTTTAGGAGAAGCATGCCAGTGGAGTGGAGCAGTGAATGCTGTGTGCTGCAAGGGCCAGTCCAGGTGACAGCCATGTCCCCTTGGTAGAGTGCTTAGCTGGACATCTTTTTGGGAGAGGCAACTAAACGCCATACTGGGAGCAGCTGTGTTTGTCTCAGGGCTCTCAGTGTTGACATCTGATGCACTGGTGAGGGACAAGCACAGGAGATGCACAGGCTCAGGGAGCCCTGAGTGGGCTGGCGAGGGGCACCCAGAATGTTGCTGGATGAAGAGCCAGGCCCCAGCCCTCCAGCCACAGGCCAGGATCGGCTTGAACTACTGTGGAGCTGAAAGCACCAAAATCGATGACCTGCCCCAACCCTAAAGCAGGATTGCTGAGATTATCCAGTCAGTACCCCACCCTAATCCTACTGCAGATTTACTGGGGTTACCTAGCACACATCTGGGCTCTGACTTGTACACTACTACAAAACTGTAGGCACCAGAAGATAACCACCATCTTGCAGTCACAGAGAAATTACTTTTGCCTTTTTTTTCTTTGTTTTTTGGGGGCGTTATTTGTTGTTTTGTTCTTTTTTCTTCTTGATTACCTGTGTTTGGTTTTTTTCATGAGTGTGAACATGGTTTTTAGTTTTTCACTTTTGCTTCTTGTTTTTTCCTTCTTTCTTGCTCCATTATCTTCTTCACTAGTTTCACAAAAGCTTGAGTAATCTTCCTTTGCCTTCGAGTCTTGCTTCTAAACTTTTTCTCTTCTATTTCTCTATTTTTTATCTTGCCCTTTTTAAATTCTCTCCCCGAGGGAAAAATCACTCTATTAAGTGGATTATTAGTGTCTATCATTTTCTGATTGGTTTAGAATTTTTATATAACTATAAAGCTTGTAGCTATGGTTAAAAGCGGCAAATTAATTGTTATCACAGTTTGTCATTTTCTGGACTGTGCTTGATGTTATCGCTGACCATAATACTTTAGCCAAGGTGCCATAGTTGTTGTGATCAGTTGCTCTTCCTTATATACCAGTACTAAGACTGTCTGGAGGTCATAGAAAATACCATCGTCCCATTTCAAAGAAATGGGTGCTGGCCAAACCAGATACCAACATTAATCCCTAAAAAATCAAAGACGCAAGATATCAGAAAAGAATACTGCACCCGAATGCCAGCTATGTGGCAAAGACATCTCTGAAAAGCATTTCTTAAAGAGGTCTTGGTACTGGATAGCAAAGCTATCTACCATATGCAATTTACCAACACCAATGCAGATAAAAAAAAAATTTAAGAAGACAGAAAATGGAAGCAAAATGGAACCTTGGATCTTCAGCTCACTCAGGGCAAATCCAGGGGTCACTGAGGTGGAAGAAATCAAAAGCCACCTAGCTGGGCTTTCCCAAATGGTAGCAACTGAAGTATCAAAGCAGATAAATGAGTTTCTAAGAAAAC